ATAGTTCTAAGGATAGGAAATTAAGACACCAAACAAAATGTATGAAAAAAGGTTGGCTGAAAATGTAAAAATTAACACAAAGGATTTCTTTAAGTACATTAAGGGTAAACAAAATGTTAGAATGGGAGTAGGACCCTTGAGGGATGATAAAAGAAAGCTTGTATGTGATGATTGTGAAATGGCTGGGTTATTAGTTTCTGCTTTTTTTTCAGTTTTTAGTAGTGAAGGTTTTGGCAGTATTCATCGTCTTGAACAATTGATAGATGGAGGCAGGGTCTGACAATATGATTGCATTAATTCTGTGCTGGTTAAGAAAAAATTGGGAAGTTTAAAAAATGATAAGGCTTCTGGGCCAAATAATATTTCACCAAAGGTTTTGAAGGAGGTTAAGGATTGGATATGTGAGGCACATGCTACTATTTTTTGTAAATACTTGAATAGTGAGCAGGTACCAATGGATTGGAAGTTACTCCACTTTTCGAAGGAGGTAATAACAATTGTCCTAGTAGTTATAGGCCTAATTAGTCTTACATCAGTTGTAGGAAAAGTTTTGGAAAGTCTGATAAAAGATGTTTTGCAAAGTCATTTAATAAAGTTTAAAATTTTATTGGATAGGCAAAATGGTTTCACTAAGGGAAAATCTTGCCTTACAAATCTTATGATAATTATGTAGATGGGGTGTAGATTTGGTGTATCTGGATTTTCAAAAAGCCATTGACAAGGTTCCACATAAAAGGTTTGTACAAAAATTATCTCTATAGGTGTGGGGGATAAGTTAGCTAAATGGATAGAAGAGTGGCTGGATGGAAGAAAACAGAGGGTTGTTATAAATGGAGTTCAGTCAGACTGGATTAATGTCACAAGTGGGGTACCTCAGGTTTCACTCATAGGACCTTTGCTCTTTCTGATCTACATCAATGACATAAATGAAGGAAAAGTCAATAAATTTCTTAAATTTGCTGATGATATTAAGATCTTGGGTGTTGCTAGATATGAGGAGGATGCTGCTGCTTAAAAAAAGGATTTAGTCAATTGGGCAAATAAATGGCAGATGGGTATTAATTATGATAAATGCAAGATAATGCATGTGGGTTATCATAATTTGAATTATAAGAATAATTTGGATGAGAATAACCTTAACAGTGTCATGAAAGAAAGGGATCTTGGTATAAAGGTTGATCGCTCTTTTAAGCCATCCAAGTATTGTGCTGTTGCTAGTGGTAGGGCAAATTGGATTTTAGGTTGTATTTTCTGAAATATTGAACTCTAGTCTAAAGAGGTTATAATTTCATTGTTTAGGTCAGTGATTAGGCCACGTATGGAGTATTGTGTTCAGCCTTTGGGCTCCTTTCCTTAGGAAGGACATTGACTTGTTGGAAAGGATTCAGAAGAAGGTTACTAGAATGTTGTCTGGGATGGAGGGTTTATCATATGAGGAGAGATTAAGATCTTTGAAATTGTTATCTCTTGAAAAAAGAAGAGTTAGAAGGGATCTGATTAAAGTATTTTAAGATTGTGAAGGGAAATGATAGTGTTGATGCATCATCGTTTTTCGTATTTAACAGCGAGAATAGTAGGACTATGGGATGCAAATACAAATTTTGGCAAGGTAGAAGTCTTCTTCAGCTAAGAAAGTTTTATTTTTCTTACAGGGTGGTTGGCTTCTGGAATGGGTTGCGTTCAGGTGTTGTGGAGGCAGTAAATTTAAATGAGTTTAAGAGAAAGCTTGATAAGTATATAAATGATAAGGGCTGGCTTTAAGATCTATTTTAACCATCTCTCCAAGGGCATCCTTTACTGTGCATGTCACAAGGTTTTTAGTGAAATACAATCAAAATTTTATTAAACTACTTTTTGTTCATGTTATACCAATTAGTATAGCATAAAATTGTAGCTAATAATCAATATTTTAATGGTATCTAAGATTTTAGGTCAACCTGTCATGTGGTATGTTGAATGCAGCATTGGTTCAGATTAGATGTTTATGATGTTCAAACACAAAATCTATAGTTTCTTACAAATTAGAAACTCAAATTGCCGATATTAAAAAGCTAGAACATAAAATAAGAACCTCCTATCTTGTACTGAATCAAACACAGTGGTCCCACTCATCTCTTTCTATTTTTGAAAATGCTCCCTTATATACATTTAGTTCTGTTTTTGACATGTGAATAACCAATCGGAACATTAGAATGTCCCCCCCTAGTGGCTTTCTCAGCCATTTTCAAGTATTACAATGTCATTTTGTCCTTTCGATATAAAACTTCAAGCTGGTAAGTTGAGTTTTTAGTCTGCTCTAAATTTCATATTTGTTTAGACCCTATACAGCTTAGTTACTAAGCTTGATAAATTATAGTGAAATTCAGTGTTATTGATATAGTAATTTATGATTTTTTGGTTATTTCAAATGTGTATATAAAACCTTAAAAAAATTATTTAATTTCACGTCCTCCACGTATGAAATTTTATAAGGCTTAGAAACCTACGACAAGTAGCAAACAAGTACAAAGGTTGTAACTAGAAGAGATAATTGTTTGCTTGAGTTCTTTATTTACTGTTCTATGTTGTAAGAAAAATAAGTTTAAGAACTTATTTGTAAATAGTAATAATGTATATACTTATATATAATGTATAATAATTGAAATGTCCACTAAAACACAACCAAGACAGGTCACTTTGCAAAGACTAAAGGTCAGTTTTATATTATTGGATACAGTAACATGAGTGTATGTGCGGCTCGCCATTGTAACTTCTGTATTGTTAGCCAGGCATGGTTGAAAGGTCAGTATAATAAAAATAATAAATATATATAAATGTATAATGTTATAAGATTTTACCTATTTAGTCTAAACATTTGTGTTTTTGTGTTATAATTTGTAGTCATTCTAGAATGAAAATGGCATAATTTATATTTATTTACTAATTTTTTATGATGTTTACGAGATCGGTCAAATCGACAGAACCAGTACAGAGAATTATTAGGGAAAATAACAGATAAAATATATAAATATAAAGTTTTTTCTTAAGAAATGTTTGATAACTATCTTGATGTGATAAAATTTTCGCAAGTGAAATATGAAAATTACTTTGCATGTTGGATAGGCAATGTGTGAAAAGAAAAAGGCATGAGAAAAACATTGCTTAACAAATCTTAAGACTTAATAAAAGAAACTGATATTTTTCGTGTGAAAGTCTAGTAATATTTTCTGATAATCTGCCAAATTTCGTGAACATAATGCTTACTAATAAAAAAGTTATAGCATTAAAACTATAACAAGTATAAAATGGTTATGAGGTCGGTCCCAGGGACCAAGCCCGTGCTTAAAGAGTTAAGTTTGGATTAGCTAAACTAAATAATATAATAAAATTTTCACTTGACATGCATGTCCTTTCAGTGATTTACAACTTATAATGGTGCAAATAGTAATTAGTCAGGTTTCATAGGACATTAGAACAATAAAATTTGAATATAAATAGATGTATAATGTTGTGAGTTTAAAGTTACTTAGGATAAACAAATGTAGTTTCATGTTTCAATTTGGAGTCATTCTAGAAAAGAAAAAAAAAGGTAATTTAGATTTATTTTATTTATTTATTTGTTTTTTGGTGGTTATGAGGTCAGTCAAATTGACCCATCTTGTATAGAGTTATGGTAGAGAAAATAACAGATAAATTATAATATTAAAAAAAACAATGCTTGAACTGTATTTAGGAGGTTTTAGAGATTATGCAAATGAAATTTTAGGTTTTTGAGAAGAAGAAAAATGTTTTTAATCTTAACATGAAAATCATTTTGCACACGGACTGTTCAAAACAAATACTCAATATAGTCACGGACAAATCTGCTTTTAGCTTATTAAAAATATTTCACTAAAAATTGATTTTTTTTGTAAGCAAAAGACATGTACTGTTTACTGAAAGTCTGCCAAAACTAACAAATACAAAATGGTCACATATTCAGTCAATTCTACCAAGCTCATTTTGATAGAGTGTTAGTTTAGTTTTAAGGATGGGACAGCTGAGGTGGATCAGTAGGTTCCCTTGTTGTCCCTAAGCATTGCGTTATATTATTATAATTAATTTACTTGTCATTAGACATTAATATCAGGCTTGTTATATTGTTTACAAAACATTACATTCATGTAGCATTTTGGGGATTTTCAATAATGGAAAAGTGTATAATAATAGTATTTGTCATACCATAATAATTGTTGTTATTAAAAATGGCTTATATAGAAAGTTTTCCAACCACTAGTGTGTTTATTGTATCTTAGCTGGACTGATGTACTCTGGATTGAGCAAATGTGTCATTGGCAATGGATAAGGCAAACATAATATGGTTAGAATACTATTATTATACACTCATCTAATTCTTGAAACTTCATAAGGGTCTAGATATAGGATGGAGTGTTAAAAATATAATAGGCCTAATACTAATGTCTGATAAGAAAATTAATTATAATCATGCTTTTTCAACTTCAATAAGGCATTCACACCATAAAAATAGAATGAAATAGAGTTTGTGTAAAAGGTTTACATATTGATCATAGTTTACCATTTTTACATGGATTTGAAAATCTTTGTTTTGACTGTAGTTATCATTTGTATGTGAATGAGAAAAGCTTTATATTTTGACTCTAAGTTACTGCCTGTAAATGGGTGAGAAAGGCTTAATATTTTGTCATAGTTTACCATATGAATGTGGATGAGAAAAGCTGTATATTTGTTCGTAGGTGACTACTTCTATCTGAATGAGAAAGGCTTTATATTTTGATTGTAGATTAGCAACTGTATATGGAAAAGTTCTATATTTTGATCATAGGTTACTACCTGTATGTGGATGAGAAAGGTATTATATTGTTTTATCATAGTTTATCACCCACATATGAATAAGAAAGGTTTAATATTTTATTTGTAGTTTGAATGTTTGTAACCAGTTTTTGTTATACTCCATCCATTAAGTTATTTTTGACAGTTCAGTTGATTTTATTACTTTGCAGATTAATGTAGCTGATCGTTTCCACTTAATGCCCATCATCACCCCAGCATATCCACAGCAGAATTCTACTTTTAATGTTTCCATGTCAACAAGGGCAGTGATGCAGGAAGAGTTCAAGCAAGGTATGTAAATATTAGCTACTAACTTTTATATTAATAGTTATGAACATATAGTTTTCTTATACAGATACAAATATTTAGATTGTTATTTCATATAAGTTGACTTAAAGCATTATCATGCAGTAATTTGTAATTACCAACATTTTGAAGAAATTCTTAAACTTGAATTTTAGTGTTTATTTTAACCCTTTGACTACTGGGCACTTTTTTAAATGCTTTACTGCACATGTTAGGTTTACTGAGTTATATTCAAATTTTAATTAAACAACTTTATCGTCAATGTATTTTAATAAAATTAGTATTATCATGTACATTATAATTCAAAGTTTTATATTATGTAAGTTTTAGTTCCTTTATTTCAAAATGAACCTTTAACAAAGTACTTAACACTCCAGTTTTGTTGTCACATGATGCACGAGCACTCAAAAATCTGAACTGTTGGTTTCTATTACTTGAATAATGCTCCGTCTGCAGTGTACATATATGTCTAAACACAAAACTACACATACAGGGCTATTTACCCATCACTTGTTTCAAATACCTTTGGGTCAGTTCAGAGAAAAAAAAATATTATCACTCACTAACAGTAGCCATGTTCACCTTCTATAGTAGAAATGAGAATTCTAAGCCTCTTCTACTTAATTGAAATATATATTTACAACCAATAGAAAGAGCTAATTTTAAAGTACAATCTCTCAATGGTTATTTTCAAACCAGTGCACATTGTTTGTTAACAAGCTCCTCAAACTATGTTTTAGCATTGTTGGAGGTTTGCCCACACTAGCACTTAGTTTTTTTCTCACCTTGATACATAGTAGTTAGAGAAACATTTAAATTGTATTTTGGTTTTATTATTATATTTTAGTTAATTATTTATGTTTTAAAATTCATATTTGAAAGGTTTAATTATTTTTTTTATGTATATAACCCAAACTTTGCCTTGCTCCACAAGGCTTATGGTACTAAGCAAGAGCAATTTCAATTTGCCGGAGGTAAAATATCAGCTGATGATACCATTATATTGCCCCAGGCACCCATTGATGTGTGTCAAGATGAATAATAAATGGTAAAGGACAGGAAAGGAAAATAAAACATTAATGATAAACTATAAGTGAAAAGGTAAAAATTTCAAGTATGTAGTATTTCCATATTTTAATTTTAAACATTTCATTGCACTGTACATTGACAATAATAGCTACCATTAGTGATATGGTAGAGAAAATGAAAAATATAAACATTTACCTTGTAGAAACTTTTGATGTCATTTAGGAGGTTCTAGAGGTTATACAAATGAAGTTATATAAGTATTTTTACACTTAACATGAAAATCACCTTGCATTTGAACTCTTCAGAGTCTGAGTGCAAATAACTACAATAAATAATGAATTTTTTAGTAGAAATAGTAGAAAAAATTGAATATTTTATTCTTCTAAAACTGCATCAGGAAAATCCTTGTCAAATTTCAAAAAATTTCATCCACTAATTTAATTTTTGGAACAGAGTATTATGAGAGTTATATCACAAGGATGTAAAGACCCGGTAACCAAAGGGTTAAAATCATTAAAGAACATTTTGCATAATATTTGCTTTTGAATTTCAAGCTATTTTTTTTAGTTACTTTAGATATAGTTCCAAAGGTATCTATAAAAACCCTTTTCTGCTTCATTGTTACCGGCTTGCTGAACTTTGCACATTGTTGCTAGGTTGCTGAACTATATCCTTATTTGTGGTCAAGGTTACATTTTCAGTTTTGTATAAAAACTACATAGATAATCTGTTCAGTAGGTTATTTCTCCAGTTATTGTGACAAAAGTGGTCAAGTGTAATTGTATTATTATTATTTTCCACTGCAAAGCAGAGTGAGGCATATTGGTTTGTCCTGTTCATCTATCAATCCTGATCTTGTGGACAGGATATCTGAAGATAGGATGGATTTTGACCAAACTTATACAACTGGTACTACATCATCACATTGGGGTGACTTAAACAATACAGTACAACATAAGTGAGGGCATAATTGTTTTATAGACACCATTTGCACTGGTTTGGTTTAATAATTTCTTCTACATAGGTAGGCTTCTGATTTTTTTTTTTTTTTT